ATACAGGTGTAAACGGGGTCTGAAACGTTTTGAGCTTGTCCACTTTCGACCACTTCCAACGCATTTGATCAGATTGCTTTTGTAGTGTAGACACTTATGTGGTCGAACAGCCGCAAAAAGACCGCCTGACCTAATGCATAAGCATTATGGGAAGCACGCTAGCCAAAGGGCGATTTAAACTTTGTCGGAAAACATACCAATCACAATGTTCTCTCACCATTCCTGATTTCTAACACACATTTACAGCATTCAGAGTCGTCTTGTGGCGCTGCTCTTCATGTGTTTTTCCGTCGTCTCTGGTCGTGTTCATATTTAAATTGTGCGAGCTTATTTTATTCATTAGATCAAAAGATCTGAAAAAGCCCATAGATTTACCCGCCCATAGACCCTATCCTCAAAGAAATCAGGTGGTTAAAAGTGGACAAAGGAGACGGATTAAAACACCAGGTGTAAACGGGAATGTGTTACTCTCGTCTACTTCTGATCAGATCGACCAATAAGCATCTTAATACCCGGTGTAAACTGGGCCTTTGAGAAATAAGGTGGCGTGCAATGTATATTATGCTAAAATCAAAGTGTTTTTTGACCTTGGATGCATGTAAACTATTGAAGGAGCCTTTAAAATAGCATAATAGGGGCACTTTAATCAAACCTCAATGACATTAAGTAGCTGGCAAAACAAGAACATAATATATATGATGATATTGATGATAATGAAATTATCATCAGATGCAGTGCTGAAGTGAAAAACAAAAACAAGCATCATACACAACAGAACAAGGCTGCTTTACTTTTAGTGCCCCCTTGTGGCAAAAAAACAATGACCCTCTCACTACACTTCACTGTGCGTAGGTAACTAGATATGAAATGTATTTTGACGTTTCAAACAATTCCACTCCTCTATAATGACACATTAAATGAGTCATTGTTCATGTTCACAATAATTTGAAGTATGCTTCACTAGATAGTTATATTGGAGAAAAAAAAAGAGAAAAGGGGGAAAAAGGTATATAGTTTGTGTACCAGGACTACATTTTTTAACTGTAGCTTTTATTTCAGACAACCTTTTGTGTGCATGTAAAAAAACAGAGAAAAGTGACATTTCTGTCTCACAAAGTCATCAAATGCATGTGTGGTTTTCTACCTCTTGTAGACTATCTTAAGATCTCTCCATTCCAGGAAGCTGCACATTTTTGGTTTTCTGGCCAGCACGACCTGCATGAGCTCTCTGACCATCTTTTTTTTGTCACGCTCAGCCGTAGCCGTGTACCATTTCTGGAGTCGTAGCTTCCCCTGCCGGCTGAACAGAAGCATAAAGCGCATCTACAAACAATAGAGAGAGAGAAAGACAAGAGAGGATCGCATAAAGAAAAATAGTTAGTTCCTCAACCAGACACTAGTCAATATGGCAGATAATGTAACAAATAAATAAATCTGTGGGGAAAAAATAAGAGCAGTGTTATTTTAGTATTATTTATGTGCTATTATAGTATTTATTAGCATTTATTTTTTATTATTTTATATTTTAAATTTTTTAGCAATTTTGTCATGTGCGTTTGACATTTTTATTCACTTGTTATGTCTATTTGGCATTATTTTTTATTTCAGGCTTACGAATTTGATCATTTTAGGATGTACACTTAATTCAGATAAATATTTTTCTGGTTTAAGTTTTTTTTCATCTAATAGTTATATTTTCATTTTACTTCAAATTCATTTTAATTAATGGGAAAAAAAGTTTTAGTTTTCAATGACACTGAACTGGATAATACAGGAAAAAAACGAATTATGATCAAAAACTAGAAGTGAGTAGATGGCATGCAGCAGTGTTATCAAATAGCATTTTAAATTAAGTATAGCATATTTATTTTACATAGCCTACAGTTTTTAAGACTTTATATTCAGTTAGAGACTACATGGAACATTTGTAGTTTTGAATATTCAATTGTAATCGAAGGACTGATGAAAAGGCCAAAAGCGACTAAAACTGGTTAAAGATATTTTATATGGTTAAAGATAAAAAGTGTGACAAAGTATACACTACCTTACTACTAATTCAAATAAATGACAACCTAAAATTCAACCTGATGTTGAAAAAAATTATTTGTCAACTACCCACATACGAATGATGATGGTGATGATGATTCAATAGAACCAGCATCTGACTTATCAGAAAGGATGAAGGAGGCGTAATGGAAAATTTGTGTAAAAATTGTACTTTTTTTTCCTAAAAGAACTTCAGCGTCATCCATCATTACAAAATTAGAAAGCAAGCTGGCCTATACATTTCAGATGTGTTAAATATTTAAAAGGTGAGCTGCATCTGCTCCCAACAGACATGCCCCACATATCCAACACGGTGCATTCATTCAGCTCAATACACTCCAAAGGCTATCTATAACCATCACATTTTCTGATCACAGAACTAGTATATGACACACTATGATTAAAAACCACAAGACTGTCACATGGAACACTACTCTTAGCACACATTAGTTTAATTGTGGAGAATTTTTTTCCGGCTTGCTAAATTGAGGACATACTTTGTGCCAGAATTTGTCTGCCTACATCAGCCCTTGAAATAGTCTAAAAATGGTGCACTGCACTTGGCAGTGAAAGGCTCTGATGTACAACAGCCACTTGATTTCCAAAAAAAGAAAGACATAAAAAAAGATGGGAGAGATGTGGGAATTTTTTTTTTATTGAGGCCAAAGACAAGAATAGTAACTTCCTAAGGGAAAGAGACTATATTCTTCAATGCTATAAAAAGGTGTCCATACTTAGCAGCCAAATTAAGTTAAAAATTAGCCTCCACATATAGCCTATAGTTTGTTAGAACCATGCATTGTTTTTACTTGATCAATGCCATGTCTTATAATACTTGTTAGTAGCTTTAACACAGAGATGTTGGGACATTAAACTCACACATTCATGAAAATCTAATGTTAATAAAGAACATTAAAATCTACAGAACAGACAATCAGATCACCATCTACTGCTAAACTAAACATCTTTACTTACAGCGATGAATGTTTCTGCTGTTTTTCTTGCAACACAGAAAGAGGGGAAAACAAAAGGACTTATATGGAGAAAAATGCTCTCTTTAGTTTTGTAACATCGGTTTATAGATCTAAGCATAAGCAAGTTCAGGTCAGCCAGTTTATTGAATATGGCAAACAGGGAACTGTTGGACAGTTTGGACAGAGTAAATACATCACATTTTGCTTCCCTCTGTTATGAGCATTAAGCCTAGTGCTTTCTTCAGTTTGTAAACACTGTTTTATGATGTGATGGATATAATCTCTCAGAGCAGCACTTCCTTTCATGCTTAACTGATTAAACAAAGGAAATACGTTGTGAAATACTTCGGAATAGTTTTGAGAGAACATACTGTTATGACGCTACAACCCGCAATGAAATTTACTGTGGCTTTAAAGGCTTTCTGACTCGCAGTTAATCTGAATCCCACATTAAAAATACACTGTCACAACTAGACAACCGTTTCCGGGTCGAATCAAAAGAGTCAAAAGTCAAGACAACTTTTAACAAATTGATTTTAGAAAATTATTTCATTTGAAACCTCAGGTATAACGATACCTCGGGTATTCAGGAAACACTCCGGTTGAGCAACAAGCAGTGAAAATCATTTCGCTGATTAATTAATACTATCAACTTAACACATCAGTTCTACGTTAAGTTACCTGTCAAACTCACCGGGTAGAGAACAAACGCTTTTTAATCTATGACATCTAGAGAATTTCACGATTTATTCAAGAGATGTAAATTAAACCACACAAAGCGTCCAAACTGGACAGACCACCTAGGGCCCGACAGGTGAGATGTGAATCATTAAACAGGGTTTGAGGTGCCCAGGTACTAACTTAGCTTTAGCTAGCTAGCTCTGCCTGAAAGTGTAGATTAATGCCGCTATAACAGTATAACTTACCATTCTGACGGCTTATTGAGAGCAGTCAGGTAATTTCAGTGAACAGCAACCCACTTTTTGGTAAATACCACAAGATAATATCAATACATGTCTAATTGACAGCTCGTAGTTTCAGAGCCCCATTAAAGCAGCCGGGAGTAGCGCTGTCCTATTTGTGAACGAATTGTTTTTTGAGTCGGGTCGTTTCAATGCATCGTTTGAATCGATTCGTTCACGAATTGGACTAATGAATTACTGTAAACAGCCGTATTAATGAAACTTAACGTAATAAGCAGAAATACGTGTCGACAGCATTTCAGAGTATGTAATATGCCAGGCCGAGATGTCAGGGATCACGATTAATCGTGACGTAAAGGAACTATTGAATTGGTTCATTTAAAAGAACCGATCCGCTGAATTGAGCCGGACTTCCCGTCACTAGAGATGAGTCAGGTATAGCGTCATCACCACCAGCGCGCGTGCGCTCTGCGCATTCCAGTCTCCACAAGATCTCTTGCAGAAAGTCCGTTTGCTGCCTTCACAAGAAATTCATTCCTGCTCTTAAATAGAAAACAGCTAAGGTTTTATGTGTTTATGTTTACAAAAGCAATAAAGTGCTTTTCTTGTCCATTTGTGAAAATTAACCTCTCATGTGCCTCTCTGGCATCTGGGAAAGATGTTCAGATGTTGTTGCCATGACAAACCAGAGGGCTGATTCAGGTTACCATGGTAACGAAGATACCAGTCAAAGAACTTTAATCTGTTCATAGCCCAAGATTCCTGCTGCTCAGTTTGGCCATTCGCAATACAATTTATTGTACTGCAAGTGAATAACACAAGCTAATCATACATTTATCTGAAACTTTATTATTTCAAAAGCCTAGCTACGCATTCAATTTGCCAGGCTGTTGTTGAAAATAATAACTTGTTCTTAAGCGACTTGTCTGGTTAAATAAAGGTTTAAAAAAAGATTGGTCTAAAAAGTGCTGGAATATATTTGACTTTTTGTTTGTTGTCAAACTTTGAACACAAGGTGTCGCCAGCTCCACAATAATTTAATAAAGAAAGCCAAAAGTGTTTTATGGTCGCTTTTATTATAAAAGGATATCATTTTAATAAACAGTCTTCAAGAAAATATGACCTTCGACAATAAATTAATATAAATACTGTAAAATACAACTTTTAAAAAAATATAAGCACATTAAACATCATATGAAACAAGCATAGACATTAATTCAGTCTTCAAATTGTTAGTGCATGTAGAACTTCTGTCTGCTGAGGCTTTAAATTCATGTTCTTTAAATGTCCTTGATGTTTCAGACATGTGCTTTGAACAATAATGTTTTCTTTTCATAGTCTAGATACTCCTCCACTTTAGCAGGCAATACATACTGAATAACCTTGTTTATACATTTCTTATTAAAGTTTGGCACTCCAGGCAATGCTCACATGGCAGATATAGAAGGTTATGCAGTCTCATCCCCCCCCCCCCCCCCAGTTTAAAACAGATCTAGTGTCTTCAGTAGTATGTGCAGACTTTTTGGCGGTTTCTTTGGTCCTTCTGCTTGTACGGTTACTTCAGTCTGTTAGTATTCTTGAGGCTGGTTAACTTGACCGCTGAACAACAGCGCACCTGTGAAATTAAGCAGGGGAGATTAATATTGAGGGAGCGAACAAACAAAAGTCCTAATTACATTGACATTTAATTAAATTAAAAAGCCATCAAAATGTCATGTAATGAGGTGAAAGCACAACTGACCAGTGGGTTTGTGTTGAATGAGGAAGTAGAATGGTCTATCCAGTGTGATCTCTTCTATAGCCATGCGAGAGTAGATGACAGCCGCTGTGGAACCACAGAATAATGTAAAAGATGCATTTTGGTATCACTGTAATGACTGGTAATGATATTTAATCTATGTTGTGGTAGGTTGTAATTCAGTGTCTGTACCTGTAGCAGATGAGCCTTTGGTTCCTTCTTCGTTCACCTCAAGTTTTACTCTCTGAAGGACCTTGGATATACATAAAGGTTCCTCAGCTAAGTGGATGGAACAGAGAGAGATCAAAAAGAGATTCCATTAACATTTATTCCTTGACAAAACAGTTACATAGTTGCCAAAAATAAAATCTGATCATTTCCAATACTCACTGGTAATGCGAGAGAAATCAGCTTTGCTCTGGCTGAAAATGTCTCCAAGACCCATCTTGCTCAGTGTAGACTTCAGATCAATTTCTGCATCCATAGAGAACCTGAAAATGTCGTCATTATATAACACATAAATTAGGCCTCCGGTTTTAAATGTTTATCAATAAAAATAAAAAAAAGCTCAAGAAAGTTCAAAAGAAATGCATTAGTCTCGGTTACCTTGGAATAGCTAGTTGTTTGTTAACCTTTCTCATCTCTTTTCTCCATTGGTGAATCCTGCTGCTGCTTAGCTCTTTGTTCAAGGCCATCAGAGGCACATCCCTTTCAAATGGTGTCACCAGAAGCATACTTATAGTCTCCCCCTCATAAGGCACCTCGATGACATCATAGTCCACTCCGTCCTCAGTCACAAATTCACCTGGATGGGGAAAAAAACGATTGTAAATTACCTTAGGATTTTTCCCTGCCATGAATCTATGAGTTCCTTTCAAACGAATCCTTGACACTCACCATAGTTTAATTTTTGAGTCGTTATCATCATAGGAACAGATACAGCACTGCCGTTGACTCTATGGAAGAGCTGTTCCCTAGTAAGTTTAGGGTCAAAGGGCGTCTTCCAGATCCCATGGAAGTGGAGGGCATTTAACAGGACTAAACGTGTCTGTTCACTCAGCACCCCAGATGGGAGGAAGTCAGAAATCATTCCTAAGAAATTAAAACAAAAGTCAAGTTAGGTGTCTTGGTGTATGATGAGTGAGTTTACATTTACTCTTAATAACTTAGATGTTTTTAATCCAAAGTGATCTACAAATGATGATTATCCCTGGCAATTTATTCAAAATAGCAGTTATAGCGTTAATTACTTACCACCAGTGTGGTCAGATGTCCAGGAGTTGATCACCTGCCTGGCCATCTCTGGGTGGGTGAAGTCTATTTGGTGTGGGACGCTCTGGAAGGCTTTGGTCAGGCTGCGTCTAAAGACCTTTTCCAAAAATATCTTCCTGTCGACCATGACACCACTGGCCACTTCCACTCCATCTTCACTGGCCAAATCTCTCTGAAGCAGCCTCTGTAGCTTTGGCATTCCTCGTGCTATCAAAGAGAAAGCGAGAATAGAGTTAAGGAACTTAGGAATGCCAGATATTGTGTTTTAAATATCAGAATAGGAGATATAAATGATACATGGCCACCTACTCTATACAAAGATTGAATTACGTTTCTTCGAAGCTGTTCCAGAACATATTTTCAGTTCATCTGAATTACATCTACTGCTCATATTTATTTACCTTGCAGTGAGTAGCCCATCTTGGAGGTGAGCACTTCAAGTGTCCTGCTATAGGCTCCCAGCTGAGCCATGCCCAGTACTGAGGAGATGCCATAGGGAGAAAGAGCAAGATTTCTGTCCGGAGCAGACTGGACAGCTTTGGAGAACACCTGCAGTCCAAAATCCGTCTGTTTCTCTTGGATAAGGTTGCACAAGCTTGACCCGCAAAGGGTAAAGATCAGCAGCATACTCAGGCTCTGCATTCTGAATAAGTGAGGAACAGGAGAGAGATGTCAGCTGTGTTAATTTGAAACTGTTAAGATTTTATGAAAGATAGTTTTATGAAGATCTTCTTTTTTTTTTTATTAATTTCTGATTAAGTATGTTTCTGTTCACAATATGGGTGTGCACTAGGCAAAACCATGAAGACAAACAAATGTTTCAACCTCGTCCAAAAAGAGAACAAGCTGCTTCTTTACTTTCCCTTTGGAAAATTCACCCTCATGTGCAAGACTCAACACACACTGTTGAAAAGCAACACCATGCATGCTATTTCTGTTTGTCTATCTTGACTCACTCTTTCATACCTATACAGATCAATAGGCTACATAAGAACCTTTGTCTACAACACTTCACCCAATTCTAAGGCTCATAACGATAATGTGTAGCCTAAACTGTTGTTCAGGTCAACAACTGATAATAACTCAACTAATGATTAAATAAAGTTTCAAATTTCACAATCCAACTCTGTTTTCCAATGCTGTTGAGAGTTCAGACCAAAACATGTGGGCATAATCTATTGTTAACAACGAAAAAAATTAAATCATTCCTCATCGATTATATATATAGCCTGAGCTTTTAGTCCATTTGCGGTATGAGGCAGAACAAGAACATAAATTACCTGAAAGACGCTTTACTTTTGTAGAGTTTCTTTGTAGATTTCGCTTGTTATTGTGATCCTCCAATGCAGTGCAAGCCCAGAGTTGTACGGAGTGTCTATGAGAAGCGCTGGCGCTATTTAAAGGACTTGAGACCTCCCCTTCAGTCGCACACACACACACTAGCGGAAGTTATGAAGTCATCTTTGTCTGCATTTTTAGTCACCCTCTCCCCTTTTTTCACACAGACATCAGACAAACATAAACACGTATACTTTCCCACCCAGTCTCTTTGCCTGTCTGTCTGTCTCTTTTCATTTTACGGGACCGTTAAACAGCAAAGTCATACGTTTAGTCTAAGGCAGAAGTAACAGCTCCTTAATCAGCCATTTAAGCTTTCAATACTGTTTCTTTGTTTAATAAAACTCACTGTAAAAAAAAGTTGCTGCCGTAAATTTTTAAGTACATCAAGTTGGATGTTTATGTCATTTCAACTTAAATTACATTAAATTGACTTAAACATTAATTGAATCTTGTATAAAAAAAACTTATTTTGATGAGTTAAAGCAGTGTAAAAACACATGTTGTCATAACTTATTAATCATTTAATTTTTTACAGTGATAGATTTTATCATGCTTATTTTTTTCCCACACTAAAAATATAACCGAGTAAATAAATGAGATTCAAAACAAGAAATTACTATAGATAGAAATTACCATACTATGGATGGATGGATGGATGGATAATTTTACACGTCTAGTACAATTATGTGGTTTTGTTTCATTAATACAGTGTACATTTTTTTCTTGATTTACCCCGAAAGAAAGGAAGTGAACTGTGACAACATGCCCCACAGGTGACAGCTTAAAATATTATCTGATCTAATCAAAATAATTTATTTATTTATCTAAAATATTTTGTCAAAAATACAATTATTAACTTTTTCATATAAAATAATGGCATTGTTTAATAATTAAAAATAAAGTAATTTTTGAGTTTGACAACAAACCACACAGCAAAACACAGCTATACAGCTAAGTTCAAAACAATAATAATTAAAAATTATTTATCTCAGTCTTTATTCGCCTTTTCTCGTGTTTTTTCAATAGCATTCATAAAAGTATAGAATAGCACAGTTCTTGGACACGTTGTAATGCAGTGTTACAACATTTCCCACCTGTGTAGCTGGAATTTAAACCCAACTATTGTCTTCCGCTGGTTAGATCAGCAGCATTAAAGAACTATCTCAACTGTTAAATAACAGATATAAGATTAAAATAATATCAGATGTGTCTAATTTTAAATAAAATAAAAAAATAGAGATGAATAATTAACTAAAGTAAGAAATTTACTTTTGCTATATGGTTAAATAAATGTTCAGTTATATCTTCCAAAGATTTCTTTCTCTATATAGCCTATGTTGAGGGCAACTAGTAAATATACCAAGTTTCCTCATGCTGGCATGTGTGGAAAGTTTTAAAACATGTGTGTTACAACTAGCCCCGCAATAGGTTGTGCCCCGCTCATCCCCATGTGCCAAAAATCTAATTTGACCAGTTCATCCATTTAACACTCAGCAACCAGAACGTGTATAAAAATAGGTTCTTCATCTTGAGCAATTAAGAACATGAAGCTGAACCATTGACTCACCTTTGGGAAAGACACATCACATGACCATATTTGGTTCTACCAAAAGCACATTCCTTCACACATGCTCATAAAGAAAGCTACATTCTCTGAGTATAGGGAATAGTGTTGTGTCTAGGGACAGAAGGACAAGAGGCATGGAAAAACTACTGATGAAATAACTTGGAGCTATGTTTCATGTCACGTTTAATTCTCTCTGGAATGAGCTTTATCATCAAGGCCAAACATGGAATATGGCACAGACTGAATGTGAAAAGAAAGCCTGCAGAGAAGCATGTCTATAAAACCGGAAAAACACACACAATCAGGTACTTCTTGTGAGTAATGTTAAAGTACTTACCAACTATTTTACTGGAATACAACATCTGTCTCCTTAGCAACTAACTGTAAAGGGAGCGAGAGCTTGAAAGGACCAGACAATGAAGTGTCAAAATAAAAATTCACAGGCCATAAAGATTGAAAACATTATGTCATGCTTTAATTAAGCTCACAGATGTTTTTACATGTCCTTGTTTTCATGACTTGCATGCAAGCACTAAACAGTAAAATACATTGTCAAATGTATTGTAATATCTCCTCTTTTACTCAGAGTCATTTATACTCTTACACGTAGTTGTCTTATGAATTTACACTTCATTCCCACAAGCATAATGGCCTATATAAAAATTCTGCTAAGTAGTATATTTGTGGAATAGCCTATTTTATTAGTACAGAATATTGATGATTTAGTAACGTTTTACTTTTAACTCCCTCCTAATAATGATGTCATGTTGTCATGGCAACTAACCCTCTCCTCTAGTAAATTTGAGAATGGAAAATTTAACTCGCAGCGCTCAAAAGGAACGCCAACTCCATTTCCCAGTGGAATGAGTTTGCTAAGTTTCATTGTAACCACATGGCATCCATCCAAGGAACGTTTGGGAAAGGAACAAACCAAAACCACATTTTGGAAGATTGTGCTTTTATGCAATATTTAAAAACTCCATCTTCCGGCCCTGAGAAAACAAAACTAAGAGTATAAATGATGTTGTTAATTAAACATACAAACAATATTCACTCACATAATAATACCTTATTATAATATGGAGAACATAATATTAATTTTATGTTGTTGTTTTAGGGTACTATTAGCACAAGTTTGTGTGAAAAGCAAAGCTGGGCTTCATGTTGATGAATATATGGGCTACATATACACACATACACACAGTATATTCCTTCAACATCCAAGAATAGGAGCAATAGTCTTAATGTGACATTAAAAAATTACAATAAATATAATATGCAAACCAAACCCACATTAATCAACTATAATCCAGCAGTATACAGTAATTTGTTGTGTGGGCTGTTCTCACTTGACCTTCTCATTTGACCCTACTGTTAAATTGCAGCATTGTTTTATTCTGTTGTCAAGGAGTTCAAACAAACAGTCTGAAAATATTGAAATATTTTGTTTGTGGTCATTATGACTAATAACTGATAAACAATAGATGAAGAGTGGGTGAAAGACACCAGATGTGGTTGAGGAGGAGAACCAAGTGGAAACTTTTAACATGTGGAAGCATCTTGCTGTGAAGAGAGGAGGATATAAGAGATCTTGAAAGTAAAACTGATGCCATCTGTCCACATGTAATCATGAAAATCACTAAAGAAACATGAAATCACTATATCAGAGCTGTTGAGTATACTTCATTAGAAACAAGCCAAAATATGAACTTCATGAATAAATTGAAAATTCAATACAAATAATAAACTTGCATCTACTCTATATGTAACTCATATAAGCAATATTCAGCTGGGGTATTTATATCTGTATTGCACAGACGACTGAAAAATCATGAATATTGATCAGAAACTCACTTAACTTTTATGCAGTGTCCATGGAAAATAACAGCCATGCTGATTAAGTATCATGTTTTATGTTGATTTAAAGAAACTTTTCTATTAAAAAGTGCTGATGTGATAAACAGGAAATTACAAAAGGGAAATGTTGTTTCCAGATGTTCATAACATCATGACCTATTAATTCTGTACATTACCTGTGCATCCTTTACTTGCAGATATCTAGTTTCTCTATTTTCAAATTACATAAATAGGCATCTGGCAGGTCATCCAGTAGCCAATAAGCTTATCTTTTATTTTTTTCTATAGATATTATATAATATTATCATAACCGTAGCCAGATGGGTTTAAACATGGAGAAGGATATGTGATTCTTTGGAGTTCTCCATTTTGATCATAAAGAGATGATGAGTAAGTGGAAAAGGCTGAGCGGATGACAAAGAATGCTGTGTAAGTGGGACATGGGGTATTCCCTGACCCCTGAGCACTTGCGTGGTTCATCAAACTAGAGAAAGTGATGATTTGCAACCTCAACTGATGATGAGTTTATATATTCTGCAAAGAAAATGAAAGTTAATTCAGCAAGAAAACGTTCAGGGGAAGAATGTTTCATTTTCTAGCAAGTAAATGTCACTGTAAGTTTACATAAACAGTCATTGTGCTTCATTAACATTGAACTACAGTTCATATACTGAATTCATGTTTCAAGATTAATTTTTGTTATACTGCATGTGAAACTATACAGATAAACAAATATTGATGTTATATAGTAATATGGAGCAAAAGTATTGCAATTAATAAAAAAATAATTTAAACTCCTAATATTACGTTACCTCTTCATTAAAAAAATTAAAGAATCAATGCACTGCTGTTACAAACAAGACTCCTGCTTATTTACTCTGCCATCACTGAACTACTTAAGTGATCAACCAAAAATTCCCTGTTATTTGATATATATGATTCGCAGCAAGATTTATTTCTGAACAATGACTGCATTTGAACCACAAAGCTCTGGCTAAATAGATAAGGCACAGGATATGACCAATGAGGAGAGAGTGTTGCATTAGACAAAAACATGTCCTGTGTTTCAGCCTTGAGCTCCAAGAGTCACAACAAATTTATACATCCAGGTCTACCAATACAGCTTTATCTCTATAGAGAGTGAGGAAAGAGCTTCAGGGGCAAACAGGAAAGCTGAACCATCAAATAGGACATATCCTTGAACACGTTTAACATTTACATGAAATTGCGTGTTTCTCATGATGGGTGTTGTTGATAGGAAGGGTGGATTTTTTTGAAGACCAGACAATGACAATGCGTATTTTGCAATAGATATGCTTGATGTTTTACTCAATGCCCCAAAGATGTTTAAATAGGATGAGGAAGAAATCTTAACGTAAGACTGTGTTTAGTTTTGAAAGAGCCGGTTTGTTTTCATTTGACATTTAACTAAACTCGGTTTCTAACAAGAGGCATTTTTTTCAAGGTTACATAACTGAAGGCATAACATGGCAAAACAATTACATCTGGCAAACTAAAAGACATCAAAAGATAAACATCTGACTCCCTCTGCCAAGAGGGTGTACACAAAAGAAAATAATTAGTGAAATGAT